CAGTAAAAATTCATCACAAATGGGTGACAGTAACAGCAGTCACGAAAACAACAACAACAAACAGTAACGTAAGAACCACACGCATGTATACATATTTACGTATATAATACGTATATGTATGCATGTGCTCTCGTGTATGTATATACATACATTAGGGTAGTCCAAAAAGAAGCAAAGTTCAAATTTGTATACTCTCATGTTCTATACCATTTTTTATTTTGAATTAAAAAAATATTTAGAGGTCGCCACAATTTTCCATATATTTTATATGGAAAAAACAATTTTTCCTATAAATGTTATAGAATTCTTAAAAATCAATATTTTTCGATCGGAAAACTCTAGTTATCTTCAGGAGATTTCCAATAATAATAATACCCAATATGACCTATTTTTTATAGGTCCCCATAAACCCCAAAAAATTGTTTGTACAAAAAAATTGTAAACTAAATCATTATGTATTATTATTGGAAGTCTCCTAAAGAGAAACACAGTTTCCCAATCGAAAAATATACACTCACTTGAATATGTTTCCGTACAATGTTTTTTTTTTTTTTTAAATATTTGCAACATTTTTCGTAATGAATTTTTTTTCGTAAATTTTTAATAGAAATATAGTTAATTTTGTATTAAATGGCATATAAATTAATGATTCAAAGTGTTTACAAAATTTAGGAAAATTCAACAAACTTAAAACTTAAAACTTGTGCTTTGTTATACTGAAATCGAGTGAGCTACAAAACTGTTTTTTCCAATATAAAATACATAGACAACTTTGAGCGCTTTGAGTGACCTCGAAATATTCGTTGAATAAAAAATAGGGGCACATTTTTCGATATAAAACAATCCTAGCGATGAGGCACTAAAATTCGGGCTAGACTTTTTCCCCCTCCATAAGCATTTTTGGACCACCCTAATGTACATACATATGTAAGTCCAAGTACACATGTAAATACTAATGTATATACATAAATACACATAATGACAATCTGCACGCTCTATAAGTGCCTCAACCAAGCGCAGAGAAGATTATGGCGATATCGACTACGACGGCGACGATGAATTTGTCCGTCGATAACGAAATGGCAAGGCTCCAAGTAAATAAGTAGGAGCGGCAGATTCAAAGCGTGTTCAATCAAACTGATTGCCGGCTATGATTGCTGAAGTTGTTTGCATTTAGTATTCCACTTTTTTCCAACACTTTCAATAATAATATTTTTTTTCTTTCATTTTAAGTTGGATATGTTTTCGCTTTTGTTATGTCAACAAGCGTAGTTAATAATTGTTGTTGCTTAGAAAATGTCACACAACGCTCAAGTACACTAAACAACATTCTTACACACTTACATACATACGCACATCGACATTGCTTATTATTAGATAAATAAAGCAAATGCAGTAAATAAAAAAAATTAAAAAAAAAAAATATGGTTGAAAACATGAGCTGTAAAATTACAAATAATAACAAATCAAACACTTTCAGTTGTCACTTGAAACAAGTCAACTTCAGCTGTAACGTCAACAAGAGACAGCAAGTCATATGGATGTATGTATACATACACAAGCGCTTTGGGAACCAATGCTCTGTTCTGGAAGCAAACTCGTCTACTTATCACTGATGCCACACGGGCAGAAACAATATGCCACATACCTATGTATATATCTACATACAGTCAGCGCCAAAAGAATGAAGACCTTGACGTTTTGACTATTGTATTTCTTTACACCTTGTATTTTCCATATTTTTCATACGAAATTTATCTTATCTCAACATCTGTACACTATAGATAGTAAAGAAAAATTAATATGAGGGTCTTTATTAGAGCAATAAAAGCCAAATCATAATTTTTTGAATTTTAGTCGGTCAGACTGTCTATCTCTGTCTGTATGTTTGTACGCTAATCACTCGAAAACTAATGCATGAAATTATATGCAGTTTTCACCTGTGTGTTGCTAGAGTTCTAACTTAAAATAAAGAAAGAAAAAATTTGAGAGTTGCCACCGGTTTGAAAATTGCAGTTTAAGTAAATTGATAAGATAAAATATATGTTGCAATATGGCTGTCAAAAGAAAGAGGTTTAAGAAGGCTTACAGCCGAAAATATTTTTGTGGAGGTTGCCACATGTTTGAAAATTTTAATTTTGTTCAATTGATAAGATAAATTAAATATTGCAATATGGGTATCAAATTGAAGAAGTTTGGGAAAGTTTACTGCCGAAAATACATATTTTTGAAGAGGCTTGCCACCTGTTTTTTTTTTATTGTATTTAATTATATTGATACATATATGAAATATTAAATACGGGTATAAAACAACACAAAAATACTTATAAGTCGCAGTGAAGCACGCCGGGTAATTGCAATTTTTTTTTTTATAAAATAAAATTGCAATTACCCGGCGTGCTTTTTTTTTTTTTATTTCATACAGAACTCGGGAAAATGCAAGAAATCACAAGAAAGTGCAAGCTTCAAGTCGGTAAAAATTACCGTTAATTTCAAAGATTTTTTTTTTTGAGGTTGTTGCGCATTTTCTTCCATATAACGTATGCAAAAAAAAATTCTCTAAACTCAACGGTAATTTTTAACGACTTGGAACTTGCACTTTGTTGTACTAAAATTTAATGTGCTACAAAACTGCATAGTCAAAATTTTTCTAAGAAAACGAATTGAAAAGTTGAAACTTTTAATTAAAATTGTTTGGTATTGCTTGCATTTTATTGAGTTGTGTATGAAATTTAAAAAATTGATTCATGAGGTCTTTGCTCTTGAATGAACTATATTTTTATAAAAAAACGGAAAAATTTGGTATGGAAAATATAAACAAAAAAAAAAATCGTCAAAACGATAGGGTATTCATATTTCTAACACCGACTGTATACATACGTATTTGAATACGATACAGTTTGCTTGTTGTTTTTGTTGTAATATCAATAATTTACAATGCACTTATCGGTTTACTGTTATTTTACAACTTTCCAACATTTGCCATCAACGAAAAAGCCATGTAATATTTCTACTTTTATTTATTTATTTAGAATGCTTTGTGTGTAGTTGTAATTACATATTTGCAACACTAGCAAACATGTTTTACATAAATACATACGTATATAAAAATATCTACTTATGTAAATATTTACGTATGTACGTAGGCTAGCCGGATTTACTTGGTATTTGTTAGAAGGAATTTATTATTTATAAAATATATTTGTTAAGACTTACAAATTTGTTGATTTGCGAATTGACATTCTTGTAGTGGAGTTTCCAAATTAATCCGATAAGGAATATTTTCACTTTATTTCCAAGCGAATGATTTACTCTCGCCTTCTGTTATGAGTGTAAATTTTAAAACTTTAGTGGAGTTTCCCCGAGAAGTGAGAAGGGGTATGTGCATTTTACATTCCTCATTTTCCAAGAGGGATGCTGCTTTGCAATGTAGATAACGGAGGAATTTAAAAATACTAATGCCGAATTTCCACTAGGCATTGAAATGACAAAAAATTTATGCCATTTAAAAAATGTCATGTGGAAATGAACTTAATTACTATTTTTTTAATGTAATGAATGAAAAGATACTTTTAGGTTATCAGAAAAGCGTGAATTCCTTTTCCTTGATTGTGAGAAAAACAAGCATAACAAATTTTACAACTAATAATCCGAGATTTCGCTATGTAAAAGGGCTTATTACCGAAAGAGCTTTAATTGAGATTATATTTATATGTAAACGTACTTTAAATTACTATTATTAGTAATGCCAGATTTTCCAGTGGACGGCTGTGTTAGCTATTAACCTCTACATTGCCAGCTGAGATGATTTTTTCTGGAAAAAGAAGCGCCTCAAGAAGGTTGGTGTTGCTCGAAGCTGGACACCACTGGCCCGCACGGATAGTAGTTGGAGTTTGCTTAGCTTGGACTGCGTATGACTTTACTTGAAAAGGATTTCGTGAAAATAAATTGCCATTTGAAGACTTCAGAAAAAATATGCATACATTAGGGCGGGTAAATTTTTTTTTACTATGCGCCTATAGCATAGGTGGACTTTACGTTGGCAAACACCAATTTGATTTTACATTCATTGTTTCTTCGGAAAATTTGCATTACACGTAGAATCCTTTGGTGCTATAAGCGCATAGTCGAAAAGATCTCGCATACATATTGACCCGCCCTAACATACACATGCACAGCATTGCTTCATTCCTTTTTTTTCTGACTGCGATTGTTTTTTTTTGATCGAGAGATAATTGTTTGGCTCTAAAAACTCGTTTGCAAATCGATTGAACGAATTCAATTGCTTAGCATTTACCAGTGCAGTTGTTTATAATTCGCCTACCAAAGTACTAGGTAGTACCTTCTTCAGTGCTTCGTAGACCACGTGGTCAGTGTCAGGCAGAGTAACCTCCACTACAATCTGGTAATTTCGGCTTCTGCTCGGCTGTAGCCAGTTTCTAGCGGTTCGTTGCACTGAAGCATGCAGTCAAGTACCTACTCACTCCTAGTATCTACTCCTTTTTGTTGGTGTTGCCTTTGCTCAGCCCATCGAATCGTGTAACGCAAATCAGTATTGTCAATCTATTACATGATTTGTCGGCAAGCGGCTAGGCCTTTGAAGCTCTATTATCGGAGTCTTAAGCGCACATGAGTATACATAGAACGCGTTGAATGATTTGTGTACTTAGCGTTGATTTGTTGACACCAAGTAGACAGCCTAACAAATAATTGCAGCAATCACAAGAAACAAATAAATAGTATTAAAATAAAAAACGCAGTCCGCGCAACTTAAGCAATCGAAGTTGCTTATCAGCGCGCGTCCACACACCGCGTACCGCGCACCGCGTACCACTGATAACAGTACACGTATTTTTAATTAAATTCTGTATTTGTATTTGTTTATCGATTTATATTTGCGCTCTATGGTAGCAAGCATAAAGCCTTCGCGGCTACCAACCCCTCCTTCCTCTAGTTTGTTCACTTTGCAATGCTTCACTCACGATTTCCTCTATTTACAGAACGCCGTTTCAACTCGACCGACTGCATCGCCTACAGCCGCCACCGCACAACCCGTCGCGCCGATCCAGCAACACCCCACGAACCTCAGCACCTCCGCACACACCGCTGCCGCTGCCAACGCGCCGCAGCCCACCCTCACCGCATCGGTTGCGTCCGCTGTCGCAGCTGCTGCCGCCGCCGCCGCTGCTGCTGCAGCAGCCGCAGCAGGCGCTGTACCACCGCCTTCTTCTACCGCCAGCAATAGTCACGCGAACATCAGCGTCGTGCCACCGAAAGGCAGCACGTCCACAGCAGCAACGCCGCTAACCATCACCTCCGCCGCCGCCGCCGCCGCCGCTGCCGCAGCTGCTGCAGCCGCCCAACACCACAGCGCCAATAATACAATGGCCGTAACATCGACAGTGCCGCCGGGCGCGCGCTCTATATCGCCATGTTCGGCCGCTGCCACGCCTTACGGCAGCAGTAGTATACCGGGTGGAGCCAGCCTCAGCGCGAGTGGACCCGGAAGTGGTGTAACAGTTTCGGTGATAGGACCACCAGGAAGTGGGCCACCAGGCATGCCGCCAAGTTTGGGCGGCGGACCGCCGGGCGGTCCTGGTGCGGGTGGTATACCACCACCACCGGGTACACCGGGCTCAAATCGTTGCTGTGATACTGGCCGCACAATCTACACGGATCCCGTTAGTGGCCAATCGCTTTGCTCGTGTCAATATGACATACTCAGCTATCAGCGTTTGGCGGCCGCCGGCGGACTGGTCACAGGACCGGGCGGAGTGCCAATAGGCGTCTATCCGGAGGGCATGTCTGCGTACCTATCGGGCATAGCGACCGATCAGCCGCCTTTCTATGCGAATCCGGTGAGTACTTACTGTGTATATACATATCTACTCTCATTTGTATTGTATGTATGTTTGGTTGTTTGTAGGCACAAGTAATTTTTGTAAAGAAAGAAAAAAAAAATATCTTCATTGCAAATTCCGCTGCGGCTGCCGCACCAAGGCAAGACTTGTCCAACATTGTTGTTGGCGCTGCATATTTGATGTCATATTTTAATGTGCGCCGTCTGCGACAAATTTGCTTCATCCGAACAGCAACAACAATGCCGCCGCTACCGACAACAATAGCCGCCTGCCTGCCTTAACAATATAAATTTCTTCACTTTTTTTTTGCAATACTTTTTCACCACAACGCTGAGGGTGGTCGCACAACTCCTAACCCGCTTTTGTTACTACAGCTCCAGCCAAGCAACGCTCCCTGACCTCTCTATCTGGGCTTAGCGATATTTCATGCGCTTTGCAGACTTGGCTTTGCTGTTGAAAAAGTGGAAATGCTGAATGGCTCAAAAGAGGTATTTTTTTTCCAGCCAAATGCAATACATAGTTTGTATAGTCTATGTGCGGCGACCTTTTGTGGCATGCAACATGCTATGCAACGCCAACGCCACCGCACAACGAACATTTGTCCGCCAGCACAGCAACAACAAGCAAGCAAAATACATAATACAATTGACAATACGCGACGATCACACTTGGGTGTTGGTTTGTTGTTATTTTGGTTAGCCAGCGTCGGTCGTTGGGTCGTTGCGCCGGCGGCGATTGCCCAACAGCGCACAGTGGTCAATAAATGGAATTTAATGTTCATAATTCCCTGAAGCCTTCATTTCTCAACCAATTCGATTATTATTTTTTTTTTTTAATAAAAGCTAATAAGACAAGAGACTAGTTGAGCCCAATTTTTGTTTGTTTATATTAAATTTTTTAGTGCAAAGTGTAGAAAAAGTACTAAATAATTTTGAAGAAGATCGATTCTCCTGCTCCACCTAATAAAAGTTTCATAATAAAAACCAGTTAAAAACAATTGCAGCGCTCTCCTTAAACGAAAAAAAATGAAAAAGTAATAATTTGAAATGTTATAAACAATTTTTCAGCAAAAGTATTTTTTTTTTGGTCGCTAAGAGTTCGCGATGATTTTATTAGCTTTCATTAAAAAAAAAAAATCAAATTAAATTCCATTTATTGACCAATGTGCAGCGCTGGCATTTGGCATATGCGCTGAGTTGACATTTGTGGCATCTTTTATGTCTTGCCAAATGTTTAATGCGAGCATTGACTTCCCGCCGCGTAGCGGTCGAAATAAATTTAATTGTTTGAATGCTTTTTTCTTAATGAAATTTGAAATGAAATTTATTTGGAAATTTTGATGCACATAAACAGTTACATATGTACATGTGTAGAAGAGAAAGGGATAGGATCCCTGCAAACCATTCTTTCAGAGTATTCTGCATTGTAAAGAAATTTTAAAGAATTCGTTAAGTTTTAACTCGAATTTTTGCGGAATTTTCTAAAATGAAATAAATTACGCACACTTCCATTCTTTTACGAAATTTCGGAAGAAAATCTGTGAAGCAACGACAATATTGCTGCTATGTGAAGAATATCTTTCAGAATTTTTCCAGAATTTTCTTTATTTTTCGTACAGAAATTTCTTTACGAGATCGTGTCAACCACTTCATATAATTTTCTTTGAAAATTCGTAAAAAAATCGTTACAGAAATGAGATAATTCTAACGATATCCTTAAGATTTCGGGAACTTTGGTTTGCAGGGATAATTCGAAAATGTTTTTTTTTTTTTGTAAATTGGCAAGTAAATGATGTATTCGTTTATTTACGATTTGGTGTGACAGAACTCCAGTGGTTTATTGTTTAAAAATATATATTTTTTTCTAAAAATTCTTCATCAAATTAATCCGGCATGTAACTGGGAAAATAGAAGAGGCCACTGACCTACGTTGGGTTTGAGCAAAATAAATTATAAATTAATTTTATTTACCGAAAAGTGTCCCTATTTATTTGTGTTAATAATTTCGGGGGTTTCAACACAAAAAAAAAAGGAAAAATCGGAAGAATGAGTTTTCATAAAAAAGTGAAAATTTTACAATTGGCTTATACGAATTTATTGCCAGAGATATCATTACCTTAATATAGAAAGACCCTATCTAATGCTGGATTTCCACTAGGCATTAAATGGCAAAAATGACAAATGACAAGGTCGGTCATTTAAAAATAATCGTGTCATTACATTAAAAAAATAATCATTAAGATCATTTCCACATGGCATTTTTTTTTAAATGGCAGACATTTTTTGTCATTTCAATGCCTAGTGGAAATTCGGCATAAGATTTTTTTTTAAAGAGTAGTTATACAACTTTTTAAAAAGTCAAGTTCTTCCGTTGCGCTTTTCTTCATTACACTGGTTTTTAGTAAAAATATAAACTAATTTTTTATGTAGTAGTTGGTTTTAAATTCAATCAGTAATCTACCGTACTAAAGGAAAGTTTCTAAATATTTTAATTTTGAAAGTCCAAATTATTTAGTTATTGAAGTATGTCATTATATTTGTGAGTTTAAGAATATTTTTCGACTCATATATTAGGTTGCAAACAGAGTGGATGCGAAGCCGAAGACGAAGATGAAGACGAAACCGAAGACGAAAAACAGTGCAGTAGTAAACATATGAAAGTGATCACAGTGCAAGCAAAGACGAAGACGAAGATGAAGACGTTGCGCAAGCGGTCAGCTTGAAACAGTGCGGTACTGTTTTCAAAGACGAATCGCTTGCTGTGATGAATTGTTTACAATTTATTTAAATGTTTGCAATTGTGAAAAAACGCGTTTTTCAAGAAATTGGCTAAATTTTTGGCAAAATGTAATCAAACGTATTAATTGGCATTCTTGTATATTTGAAAAATGTCTGTCCGTCTTGCCGTAACACATAATACAAGTGGCGAAATTCTCCAAAAGTTGTCCTATACAAATTATTTCATGAATTGCTGTTTTTTCTTTATTTTCTTTTGATTTTATCTAAAAAAATGGTTTTATTTAGAAACAAATCTTCATATCATTCATCTTCCACTATGTACACTCGCCAGCTTGCCCGCAACGCAAGCAATTCGTCTTCGGCTTCGTCTTCATCTTCGTCTTCGGCTTCGCTTCCACTCTGTTTGCAACCTTAGACATATGAATACCTCGAATACATCCGCAGCGTTACCAGACCTTTGGAATTCCCCTGAGAGAATATTGAAAAAAGATGCCTCCAAGCTGCTGAGCCTGCCGAGCTCTAGACACTCCCTGATGACTTTGTCTAGGATTTCCGTAAAGTTACAATTCTTAAAATGTTTGTCCTCTTTCAGTCCGTGCCCTATTCCTAGCTATTAGAAGTCCTACCCGAAGCCATAAGTCCTCTATGTTTAACAATAAGAAGAAGCGGGTGAGTTTTCTACCATCTACCATCTACCAATGAATATAAAGATTATTCCTAGAATGGTAACTCCAAGTTTTCTACATACGTATGTAGTATTGTACGGAAAAACACTGCGTTCTCAAGATGAAGTTCTGTAGGCTGCCGATGAGCTCCTCGGAAGTTTTAATGAAATATGATCCGACAAAATAAAGTCCAGGCTGAGATGATTCTACCACGTCGTCTAACAACACCTGTGAAACCGTAACGCATGAGTTCTTACCGGCCAGTTACCTGTTGGGATGCCTGTCCGCTTCTATAGTTGGCGCTTGGACAACCAAGGAAGCTCTGCTGACCATCTACTGTCCACCAGAGACCAGAACTTTTGTAACTTTGCCTGCCGGGTTTTCGGCCATTGACTCTGCTGAGCCGATTAAAATCCCATTTTTCCTTTCTTGTAGGGGAAACAACCACGATGGTACATTAACTAGGTAGTCCATCAGCCTTAAAGATAGCTGCATTGGCTGTGTGCCCTGTGACCCAAATCAGCTTAATTTGGAGGTATTTCGATGCAAATGGTAGAAAATGGTAAGAGATTCCATGACTAGTTTCCATCGCATAATAAGCGAAGCCAGTTTAACGGAGAGTTCCTGGTTGACATCACTCCTCCAGCTCTTCCGTTCCACTTCGATTCAGTCGTTAATAAGTTTACTGGACCTCCCTGTTAGGGGTTTCCTAACTGCCACTCTTTCCTAGGAGAGGTGTGTTTAAAATCAAAGGGGTAACTAAAAGTCGCCTACGATTTGAAAAACTTTTTTCATTTCATTGATGCTCGAACTAGGTACTGGCGGCTGTTATGTACACTGACTACATCCTATTCATCCTAAGTCCAGCTAAAACTGATCCGGGGATTTTCTTAGCGGGTAAATGTTTTCTTGATATCTACACTGGTATACGAGGAAACCCGAGATCTTATTTTTGAAAGATAAACTACCCAAAATCTCACAAACATGAGTTTTCAGTTATAGGAGCTCCAAAACTTTTGAAATGTGTTATCCAAAGATAAAAAAAAAAAAAAAAAAATTAGGGTAGCCACCATATTCAACGAAACAATGCGTGGTGTTTGTCGATTAAAGCGTAGCTCAATTTTTAATGATGTGGCCAAGAACCTTAATAATGCCATTTTAAGCTAAATGCTCAGAATTGGACAGGTTAGACCCACTGCACTCTTCATCTCAAACTAGCCACGAAAAAATTTAGCTTAACTATTTTATAGTCAAAGAATAAATTCTATTACTTTATTCAAGGTATTATCATCAAACCACATCTCGTTTTTGTATTCAAAATCATAAAATTCAAATTCATAAAATTCCGAATAATAAAAAAGTGTTGACCCAAAAATCCCATAAATTCATTAGTATCTAAACATATTTCAGGTTTTTTTGTTTTGTTTGATGTAGCAGAAATCAATAAAAACCTCGAAACAAATCCATCAACCATAAATACAAAAACCCGTGAACAACAACAACAACTATGCTAAAAAGCGCTCAATCAAGACACAAACAACATATTTTATTAACTAGCGGGGCGCTGATCGTTCGAATTGATCGAATTTTAAAAAATGGAAATGTTCTTTGCATAACACGCATTTCATTTCAACGGATATATCTACTATAAGTATAAGTATGTGCATATGTATGTATGTATGTATGTAGATATATATTACCTAATAAAAATCGACGAATTTAAAATTAAAACATTGCGGCATATTTTAGTCGCTTTTTGTGACTGTAAAGGAGTTTTGTTTCAATTTGGCGCTTTGGTGGTGGCGAAAGAAAAAAGCGCAGCAACAACAACAACAACAAAAACAACAAAAAAAGGCGAAATATATTTTATGACTTGCT